GATCAACAGCTAGTTGCAGGACTGTGCCACAACAAGGCAACAAGTTGTTTAAACGAGGTTTTGGGATTTGGTGATGTTTTGATCGCAGAAGACCAGAATGAGACTCGAAGGGTGATGTTCTGACCGAAGCGTTGAACATAGCCTTCCTATGTTGAAGAATCATGTTTTGACCAAAGAGAATCGCTTCTACATGTTCTGATTGAAGCATCATGTTCTAAACCGTGTTTGCAAATTCTGATTGCGCTTGCGTGTGGGCTGGCCCAGAAGTTCTGAAGTACCACATTCTCTTAACACTTATAAAAAATTTAAATGTTTAGCAATTTGGATTTTTCAAAGTAATTTCTGACTTCTGATTCTTGATGAACCAATTTCATGTCTTGATAAAATATAATTGTTGAAACTTGATTTTTGATCTAAAAAGTCAAAGTTTGACTTTTCATTGTGCTTTTGACCATTTTGCCCTTGTGAATGATTTTCTTGGAAAATTGTAATCCAAGACTCGAAACTTGATAGAAGCAAACCCGAGGGTCCAGGATGATCTTTTGAGAAATGAGAGGGCAAATTTTGGGGTACAACATAGCTCAACAAGTGTCCAACTAAGAAGTTGAAGGAAATTGTTCCTTTAGAAAAGTGGACTTGAGACAAGCAAAGTGTTAGCCATTTGAAGGTGTTTGGTTATGTATGTTACAAACACGTTCCAGAAGCTAGGAGAAAGAAGTTGAATGATAAAAGCAAAGTAATAATTTTGGTGGGGTACCACAGTACAGGTGTGTACAAGCTTTATTGTCCAGAAACTAATAACGTTGAAGTCAGCAGAGAAGTCATTGTAAAAGATTCAGGAGCATGGGATTGGAGTAAGTCTCAATCCATTTTTGAAGATACTTCAGAAGGTTTTGAAGATTAGTCAGAACTTGAAAGTTTTGAAGAAGAGTCAAAATCAGAAGATGATTCTGGAGACTCTGAATCTGAGTCAGATGGTGAATCTGATTCTGATCCAGATTTTGACAATGGTCCAGAATATGATGGTGATCATGTTTCTGAAAGGGAAAACTCTGAAGACGTTGGCTTTAGAGGACAAGCTTTTTGAGGTGATCATGTTTCTGAAGGTGGTACTTCTAAAGTAGTGGTTCTGTACTAAGTTTAGAAGTTAACATTGTTTCAGGTTCTGTAGAAGTTTCAGAACAAGTTCAGAGGCTACAAAGAATCAGACAAATACCAAGAAGGTTTCCAGAGTTTGACATGTTGCACGACACTGAAGTAGATTTTGAAGGAGAAGTGGTTCAGTGTGCCATGTTAGTTGATTCTGAACCAGTGGGTATTGAAGTTTCTCTCAAGAAGAAAGTATGAATGAATGTCATGATAGAAGAATTTGAGGCTATAGAAATAAACAAGACTTGGGAATTGACTAAGCTTCCAAATGAGAAGAAAGCCATCAACGTCAGATGGGTTTTTAAGGTAAAATTTAAGCCAGATGAATCAATTATTAAGCACAAAGCGAGGCTAGTGCTAGAGGTTTTCTTCAGAAACATGGGCTGGATTACTTTGAGGTGTTTGCGCCAGTAGCTAGACATGAAACAATCAAACTGATGATTGTTTTAGTTGCAAATAGAAATTGGCTTTTGATGCATCTAGACGTGAACTCTGCATTTATGAACGGTCCATTACAAGAAGAGGTATATGTATCACAACCTCCTGAATTTGTGAAAAAGAATCAGGAAGGGATGGTGTAAAAGTTACATAAAGCTCTATATGGATTGAAGCAAGCACCCAGATCTTGGAATTTGAAGATTGATTCATTTTTCAAGAAGCAGGGGTTTCAGAAATATGAAATGGAATATGGAGTTTATGTGCAGCATTCTGGAGGCGATATGATTTTGGAATGTCTCTATGTTGATGATATATTGCTAACGAGAAGTTTTCCAGAAAGTATAATCAAGTTCAAAGAGGTGCTGATGATGAGTTTGAGATGACTAATCTGGGAAATATGATATATTTTCTAGGGATATAGATTTTGTACTCGGAAAAGGGTATCATTTTGTATCAGCTGAAGTATGAACTTGAACTTCTGAAGAGATTTAAGCTGCAGAATGGTATTACTGCTATCACACCATCAGAAACCAATCGTAAATTGGATTCTGATTCTGAGGGTGAGGATGTGGATGCTACAACCTTCAAATAGTTGGTTTTCTCTAAGGTATTTGTGTAACACCAGACTTGATATTTGCTATGCAGTTGAAATAGTTAGTAGGTTCATGAGTAAAGCTAAATGGTCCCATTACCAAGTTGCTGTCAGAATTCTGAGGTATATCAAGGGAACTCTGAAGTATGAAATATTATTCCCTTCTGGAAGAAAGAAAGACTCATAGTTGATGAGTTACTCTGATTTTGATTTGTGTGGAGATAGAGTTGATAGAAGAAGTACTTTTGGATACTTGTTTAAGTTTCTGGGAGGTCTAATTTCTTGGTGTTCCAAGAAGCAGTCTATTGTTACTCTATCAATCTGTGAAGTTGAGTATATTGCAGGTGTTGTAGCTATATGTCAAGTTGTGTGGTTTCTGAATCTATTGCAGGATCTGAAGGTCAAGGTAGATAAGCCTCTGAAGCTGATGATTGATAACAAGTATGCAATCAATCTTACCAAGAACTCAGTACTACATGAGAGAAGCAAGCATATTGAGACAAAGTATTATTTTCTGAGAATTCAAATCCAGAACAGAGTACTAGAAGTTGTGCACTGTAGCACCCAGAAGCAGCTGACAGATGTTCTGACAAAGGCGATCAAGACAGGGCAATTTCTCTGCTTAATGGATAGAATTGGTGTTGTTAGTTTTGAATAGGAAATTCTAAATTAAGGGATGATATTGAAGGATAATTTAGTATTTCTAGTTGTTTTAATAACTTAGCTATTAAGTTTATTCTATTAGGGTCTATGTGGCAGTTTACTTTGTGTATAAATAGACTAATGATTCATGTCATTTAATATATTCTTTCTTACAACTTTTGTAGCCGTCATTGCAGAACAATAAATATATTCTCTTAATTATTCTTTTTTGTTCTTTATCACCTTGTGCACTAACAAACGATATAACAAATGATGAAAAAAATAATACATTCTTAAATATCACGAAAGAGATATAAGAGAGTTTTTTTTTTAATTTGTAGTTCTTCAGAAACTCAATCACAATTTTTTTATAGTTCTTCAAGAACTTAATCACAAATCGTGTTATTAATGCAAATAATAATATTTGTAATTCTTTAGGGATGCTCCTTCAAAGATATTTGATAAATTCTTCAGGAACTATATATCAAACTCAATATTATCCTTCAGGGATATTTGATAAGTTCTTCGGGAACTATATACCAAACTTAATATTATCCTTCCGGGATATTTGATAAATTCTTAGGAACTATATAATATACTCATTATTATTCTTTAGGGATGCTTTATAAGTTCTTCAATGACTCAAATGCTTTATAAGTTTTTCAAGAACTATATAATGTTATTTTGCTATCCTTCAATGATGCTTGATAAGTTCTTCTGGAACTTATATAAATATTCTTTTTGCTATCCTTCATAGATGTTGATAAATTTTTCAGAAACTTATATAATATTATTTTGCTATCCTTCAGAGATGCTTGATAATCATCATTAATTTTCTTTTTTTTCTTTTCTTATCAATATATTATAAATAATAGGTAGAATATAATAAAAGGAAGAAGAAACATTGTTACATTACATGCTTGATAATCATCATTAATTTTCTTTTTTTTCTTTTCTTATCAATATATTATAAATAATAGGTAGAATATAATAAAAGGAAGAAGAAACATTGTTACATTACTCACCAAAATATACTTTCAAGTTTTGAAGCTCTGTGCTGATAACGTGTTGTGAAATTAATAAGAAGCAATATAATGGAATATTAGAAACGAAGAAGAGAAAGAGAGAAATAATATTGTATTATTTTTATTATCAATCAATTTTAAGTACAATATGAATCATATTTATAAGAAATATGTAATAAATAAAAAATTAATTGAAATCTCCTAATTGATGGATATCAATAATGATTTCATTTATAACAAAACCAATTTATAAAAGAAAATTGAATCTAAACCGATTTTAAACTGAATTTAAATTATTTTAATTAAATAATTCAGTTCATTAACCATTTAAGAGGTTCAATTTTTTTATAGGGCAATATAATTCAATTCAAGTATACAATTCAATTAACTATATTTTTAAACACCCTTTGACCACGTGGCTTGGTTTCGACTGTTGACACTAATTTTGTTGGCGACTTTGTTCAAAAGTTAGAAACTTCCACATCCCTCCGAGCTGAATATAGTGTAACTATTCTTTTTTATTGAAATAGCTTATGAAAGAAATTGATTTAATTCATGTCAATAAAACAAATGGTATAGTTGTGAACCAATTAAGATCGAGTATACTAGAGGCTAGACTCTCCTACAGCATAAACGAACCAAAATAGCCGTGATAAGTCTCATCATGGTTGTTAAATCACGCCTGGTGTCTTTTATAGAGATTGATTGATAGATAGATGCCAATAATTCACAAACCAACGAAAGAAACAAGGCATCAAATGTGGTTTGGCTAAACACATTTTTTATTTTATTTATAAAAAAGAAAGAAAAAGTATCATCCTCTATGTTTTTGGGTGGAGCACAAATGTCACATACAAAACTGAAACTGAAAAACAAAATTCAACACACGATTCATTGAAAGGGGTCACAGGTGTTGTAATTAACAATGCTTTGCAGTACAGATATTATGTGTTGAACTAAAAACTAAATTCCTACATGATGGAAGGGAGAACAATTTCTTCAGACTTTGATGCTCCAATGCCTCATTTGCCACAACATGATGTTAATAGAACATGCCACCTTTGTAATTTTAACATTCATGACAACGACATGAAGCTTTCGCCTTTCGACGATTTGATTTCTGGTGTCTGAATAGCATTGTCTAGTAGCATAATCTATGGCTGCCAAGAAAAAGAAAGAAAGAGCATTTAAGGTGATACTAAAAACCATAATTATAAACACATTGATATTGAACTTTGCAAAGTAGTGAGGAACCATCTATATTTTTCGGATTTGGATTTGCTTCGATCAACAATTCCACACATTCACACAGTCATCACTTCCATGGTCGTTAGATTGAGATCAGACAGTTCAGATTTCAACGGTAACCAACTCGCTGACTGCGTGAATCTGAGAATAGCTGACTACAAAAAATCCAAGTCCTCTTAAGGGTTTGTGATTAATGTGTATTCAGTTTGCAAGCATCTGTGGTATCTAACTGATGTCAAACATGAATTTATCACAGCAGAAATTTATAACCATCGAAACAAAATTTATTTCGTGCGAACTCTAACCTGGTGATTTGATGCATGATCATGTATTCTATTAGGCTTCATGTTCAAATCAATCAACTTATTATCCATCTTGTTATTTCCATCAGCATTAGGTTCTAAAATTGGAACTGGAGGCACCCTATGATTCTGTTGCTTCTCTCCCATTTTTTTTTTAGGAAGTGGACTTTGTCCTCTTTTAATATCACCCGGATCCAAAGGTTGAGAAGATGGATTCTCAGCATTACTAGGTTTATCACCTGGAAACTATGGAACAAGCAGATATTAAGGGTTAGAGGATCGTTCAAACCCTGATGAAGGAGAAAATACTAACATAGTAACATTTTCCATACGTATAGCAATTTCAAGACTAATTCCTTTTGGATAAAGGATGGACACACCTCAACTCTTTGCCTAAATAGAAGATATCTTCCATGTGTTCTTTTACCACCAACATGAACTATCATATCGCATTGCAAACAAAGGGAACTTCCATCTGTTTCGCAATAGAAGAAAGCTACAACGAGATTGAAAAGACGATTAAACACATAAGCAACAAAAAACATCATAAGAACAAGCACGGATAAAAACAAATAGACTTCATACCAGGTGCATTCTCACATATGTCGCAGCGCGGCACATCACTTGGACTTGCAAGACCAACCCTAACATGTCTACTAGCTAGCTTATTGCACATATGAACCTACCATTTCCAAAAATTACAATCCTTGAGAAATTAATATTAATTAAAATGACACTAACGGTTATTTTACAACCAGTCCTCCGAGAAAGAATTTCGACTTCGTCCTTCTAAATTATTAGGTCAAACTTTTACATGAGCTGGACACCTCAGATTTCAAATTTACAGAAAGTACACAAAAAATATGAAATCAAATGAATCATGAAACTAAATTGCAAATCTTTAACCTAATCTCACATAAATGGACTTGTCCAAGTTAAGCAAGATTCCAAAATTCAATATTGGTATATCAAATATCAATAATGAAACATTACATTTAGAAAAACATCAACATTCAGAGGCAATGATTTAACAGTGACCAAAAGCAAAAGCAAAAGCAAAATCAACATGAAATTGAATAGTGATAATTAGAAACCAAATCAAAGATAAACAGAAAGTAAGGTAGCAACAAACCTTTTCATCACAAGCACGACAGAGTGCAGCCTCATCAGCAGCACAGAAAACGATGGCGGCTGCGCTCTCACAAGCATCACAAAGCGTTCGCATAATTAAACTCTCTCACTTTCATTGCTTCAAAAATTTCAAACAAACAAAATAGAAACAAAAGTTGAAAAGTCAGATACAGAAAAAGAAAAAAAAAAACTAAAATTTTCAAGTTAAAATAATTAAAAAAATATACAAAAAAAATAGATAATCACCAAATCCATGTAAGAAAGTTTTATTTAGATGATAGGGTATTATGAAGATGGATGATGAAGGTGGTGGTTGACGATGATGGAAAGTTGGGTTTAGAGGGTTTGAGAAGTGAGAGAGAAAATGAAGAGAGAGTAAAATAGTACTAGATGAATTTGATGTGAAGTTATTATGAAGTTAGATGGTAGCCACAAGTTGAAAGGCAATGTGGGGTTGACAAGAACACAAACTTGAATCTGAACCACTAATTAAGTTATCATACATGGGACCCACTTTCATATTTTTTTGTTTGTTTACTCATTGTTGTCGACCACCCTAACATAACATTGTTGCCTTTTACTGCATGCTCTTCTCTCCAACTCTCTTTCTTTCATGCTGCAAAATTTGTTTAATTTTAAATTATAAAAAAAAAAAGAATAATAATGAAAAGTTATAGTTAATTGAATTTATTTCCATGAGAATTTTATTTATCCATCCTTTATGCTTTAGATAAGAATAGAAAAATAATATATAAACAATATTTCTTAGAATAAAAAGTTTTTTAAAATAATTTATTTCAATTTGAACAAACTGAGAATATTTCATTTTCATAATCATATTTTCATAAATATTTTTTTTAACCTTGAAACAAACACATTAAGAAAAAAGACATTTTTTTCACTCTTTATTTTGGGTAAAAATATGAGTTTTATGCTACAAGTCATTGCATTTTTTTATTTATATAAAAAGAAATTAGTCTGTTTATTAAAACAAAATTTATTTCATTTTAAAAAAATTTAACTCATTTTTATAAAGAACTATTTTTAAAATTATTTTCACATATATTTTAGAATAGAGTCAAATTTCAACTGTTTAATTGAATATTAAATTTAATTTTTAAATTAACAAAGTTAAACTCTTACCGTTAAACAATATTTTAAAAAATAAAATTGTAAAACTATTTGTAAATATAAAATTAATAAAATATCATTTTTTTAACAAATAAAAAATCAATATAAAAGGAAAAGAATATAAATTTTGAAATTAATAGTAAAATAATTTTGTAGACTAAAAAAATGCGATATTTTTATAGAAATCAAAAACGAAATTAAATCATTTTATAGAATTAATAAAATATATCTAACCTTTTTTATTTATTATCTTTATTCTTAAATACATAATTAAAAATATATTTTTATAAAAAATGTATTATAATATATTAATAATTACTTATATTTAAGAATAATTTTTCTTTCATACTAGTTATTTGTTGTATATAAAAAAATAGACGAATAAAAATAATAAATAATAAAAATTAAGGTTAAATATGATTGTGGTCATCATAAATATTTATATTTTATTTGAAGTCTTTAAAAAATTTTTTTTTTTAAAATAGTTTTTTTTTTAACTTTTATTTATACTTTTTGTCTTTTATATTAAAACGGTCGCTAAAATCATAGTTAATTAATATGACAATCGTTAAAATTATTATTAATTTTGTTGTTAAGTTAGATGAGAGAGTAAAAATATAAATACAATTTTTTAAGTGATCATTCTCTAAAGAAAATTATTTTGAAGAACTAAAAATAAATTATAAAATATTAAGAAGACTAAAAATATATTTAATCTTAAAAATTATTATAAAAGAAAAAGAAATAATAATATTAAAATAAAAATAATAATAAGTAATTTCACCGGTCTTTTCTCTCCCATTAATTATAACTCCACTAAATCAACTTTAGAATTCATATACTTATATAAAGATTGGATAACTAATATTCCCACCTTTTATTAATAGAAAAAGAGGATGATTAATATTTTTTATTTCACTAAATTTAACTCAAATAAGTGTTGTCTAGTCTATTCTTCATCTAACAATTTAGATCTATAACTGCATGACATGTGGATATGACAAAAATCCAAATATGACTCATGCTCATGCTATAGAAAATCCTAAAAATTGTTGGAGACAGTTGACACGTGTCCATCAAGATTAATTATTCAACTTGCTTATCTTCCAACTTCCACATTTGGGTTTTTATCAAAAAAAAGAACTTCCCTTTTAAGTGAAACATACTATTGCAAAGATTTTCTCTAGCAATAAATATTTTGCAATATAGAGTGCTTGGTGGATTTGGATTGATATCTATGGTAGTGAAGGGTGATGTGTGAAGAACTCAACATTTTTAAACACTTTTCTATGGTTGAGCAAAAAAACAAATAGACTCTAGATTGATATATTGAAGTGTCCATCCATAATTGAGAGGACTTTAATAATCCATAACTATTGTATTTTTACAGCCACAATTATTGTTGCTCCTAGAAGAACTTTCCATTTGATAAAGAAACCTTTCCTAAATAGATGTAGCAATGGACTCAGAATTATGTTTAGCTTGTCTTCAACACCAAGTTGTTATACGTCATTTTATGTTTGGGGCAACTCACACATGTTGGAAGCTACCACTTTAACTCACACCTCTAAGTACTCATAATTGATTTTAGAGGTGGAAGATTGATGATGTGAGGTTGTTAAAGTAAAATTTATATTTTTGAGTTAAAATATGATTTAAATTTAAAATTTATTGTTTACATTTATATGTATATATCCAAACATAAATGTTTTACATTCAATCCACATTTATTTAGAATCAATTCACTTAAAATTAATTTTTGTCATCATAAAACTAAACATGTGCATAGTTAAATTTAAGACTTACCACACATACAATCTTACCATAAGTTATAAGATTAGAGAGAAATATATATTAAATATTTTTTTTGAATATAAAATAAAATAGAATATAATGAATTACATCTCTAGAACAATTAAAGAATCTTATATATTTTATCATTAATATTTAAGAGAACTTTGTATTGTTGAGAATAGAATTTATCCAATTACAAAAATTTGTTAAACCCAAAAACCTTAAAAATGTGAAGAGTTAATAATACTTTTTGGAAATTTATGTGACTTACAGATATAAATAACAATTAGTTTTGATGATAACAATTGTAAATAAACTTTTATATAATAATTTCACAGGTCAAACGATTTTTAGTGTTGATAGCTCTATTCATAAGTTTTTTTTTTACAATTGACAAATAGGCAGTTGATTGCAACTATCTAGTAAGTTTTTGATGATGATATCTGATCAAGAAGATACCTCAAGCCTTAATATTCATATAATTCAAAGATCTATTTGAAGTGTTAATCAATCGTTTAATCAAGTAGAGGATCTTGAAGTTTGAAAAAGAGAAAGTGTGAAAGCTTGTTTGATTTTACATTTAGCGCCTTAAAGTGATTAGTTTAAATTGTAAAAGGTTAAGAGTAAGTCTTCAAGTATTAAGGTAAAAACACACACACACACACAAAATATTTTCAAACCTTTTAAGCTTTTATTAAAACTTCTGAAAACCTATCAAGGCATATATGAAATTGAAGAAGCTTGGAAGTCAACCAAGATCTAAGAAAAAAGTGCTTATGTGTTAAAGGAAAAAATTCAAGATATTGAAGGAAAAACTTAGGGATGTTTTTGGTATATTAAACTTGGAAGTGGAAAAAATCATCAATGATCTTAATGAGTTGGATGTTATGTCAGCATAAGGTGTTCAATTAGTAAGTTGTGACTTAGCAGACAAGATAATGGAGATGACAAGTAGAGTGTGGAAAAACTTGAAGTATAAGGAAAATATGTTTAGGCAAAAATCAATACATGAGTAGATTAGAGAGGAATATTCTATTCAAGGTACTTTCAATCAGCCATGAAGAAAAGATATAGAAGAAATTAAACAATGACCTTTAAAACTGTTGTAGGTCGGATAAAGACAGTTGAGAAAATCCAAAGGAAAATCACGAATAACTTTCAAGAGAGATTTCAAGAACCATCTCCAACTAGGCCAACTTTGGAAGAAGTGGCTTTCAAGCAACTTAGTAAGTTTGACACTGATATACTTGAAGATCCCTTCCATTTTGAGGAGGCCAATGATGCAATGTGGCTTAGTGATGGTGATAAAAGTCTTGGGTCAGATGGATTCAACATGAGATTTTTCAAAAAGTGTTAGGACATTTTAAAAGAAGACATAATATTGTTTGTGAAAGAATTTTATATCAATGCTAAGTTACCAAATATTGTCACTACAAGTTTTTTTTTTACATTTTGATCCTGAAAAGAGAAACCAAAGGAGATTGGTGAATATCAACCAATATGTTTGGTTGGTAGCATTTATAGAATAATCTCTAAGATGTTGGTAGCGAGAATAATGAAGGTTAAACCTAAGTTGATATATTCTTGTCAAATTGCATTTGTCTAAAAATGACAAATGCTTGATGAGGTGTTAGTCACTAATGAAATTATGGATCTAGCAATAAGGAAAAAGAAGAAGTGAATGTTTATAAAGATAGATTTTTGAAAAAGCTAATGGTAATGTGAGTTGAGCTTATATTTGCTATATCATGAGGAGGATGGGCTTTGGGTCAAGGTGGATGAGATGCATGGAAACTTGTGTTTTCACAAGTACTATGTCAATTATAGTTAATGGTAGTCCAACCTTGGACTTTTAAGCTCATAGAGGCATACGCCAAGGGGACTCTATGTATCTATTTCTCTTTCTTTTGGTTGTAGAAGGGCTGATTGGACTTGTATATAATGCAATTCAGTTGGGAGAGTTTCAAGCTTTTAGGATCACTAAGGATATTCATTATGAAATTATACATTTTATTGATGATACTATGATCATTGCTGAGGGGAATTGGAAAAAATTATGGAACATCAAACCAATCATGCCTGGTTTTGAATTGGTGTCTGGTTTAAGTGTTAATTTCCATAATAGCAAGTTGTATGACATCAACCTGAATGGAACTTTCATGCAAGGTG